TTTTCTAGTCGGCCTCTCCTCTGAAAAAATAATTTTTTCTTCAAGTACGTCTAGGGTAGAAAATGAAATCTGACTCTTACTTGGTCAAATGTGGAACGCAGTAACTGCATGGACCAGCCACTTGGCCACTGTGACCGCTGAGGGCCGTGGGACCGGACCAGACCCTGTGAGGACAGCGCCTCAGTAATGGCGCCTCTGCAGGCCCCTGGGGCAGTCCTAAGGTCTGGCTCACTTGCTTTCTAGACATGGAAAGTAAACGAGGTGGCCCACCAGGCACCCCTCCGTGTACAGTTCATGTGCCTCTCAGTGGGGTCCTCTGTCTTTGCACTAACCCCCCCCCCAAAAAAAAATCCTTGCTGTTTAAGTTTGTTGACTGCTTCTGGAAGATTCTCAAAGGAACACTATGCCTGAACAGTTCATCTGAAAGAGAAATAACTAATTTGTAGTTTTGTGAACTAGGGCGGAAAAAAAGGCCGGGGCGGGGAGCTACGCTACCTTGACTCTAAGAAAGGGCAAGGAAGAGGGCCACGCTCTGGAGAGTCCCCAGCCCGAAGGTCATAGCGAGCCTGGTTTCCTACCGAACGTGGAGACGCGGCCACACCGCACAGACCAGGCGCAGGCTGAGCGGGAGCGCCAGCTAGGGGGGTCATCAGCCGGCTCATTTTTTCTCTAGAACTTGAGATTAGAAAAGGTCACAAGAGATGTTCTGGAGCGGCCGCGTACATGGAGAGGACCCACATCGAAGGGACACCTTACCCAAGGGTGCGCCAGGAGACGTTAACGCTGGCAGGGGCTGGCAGGGCGAGCCTGCCCGCGCGAGGTCAGAGTTCAGGCGTCCGCGGTCACCACGTCCCGTCTTTCACAAAATATATTCGAACGTGAACGGCAAGTTTTCACTTTACTCCCAGCCCTTGTCCTTGATCATGTGCGCGAGCTCGATAATGGATTTCCCTTCCTTACATTTCTGACTGCTCTCAAAGGCATGTTCATACTTCCAGCCCAGCGTGGTCCCGCAGTTCTTGCGGTGTATGTCGACCACCGCGTGCAGCCGGGTGAGCAGGACCCTCTCCTCCGCGGGGCCGCAGCCCATGTCCCCACGGAGCTGAAGAGGTAGACCGGGCCCTGGCTCCCCTGGAAGGACTTGGAGATCAGCTCGTCGTGGTTGGCCAGCTGGGCTCTGCAGTGGATGCGGCTGTATGTCCGGTGAGTTTGGCAGGTACGCTTGGAAAGGTTTGGATTTGGTCATCTTCACCATCTCGGCCGGTCACTTCTCACTCAGCTGAGGGCTGGCGCTGGAAGAACTGGGGCTCTGCTGGGCTCTCAGACAAGAGATACTGGAACAGGCACGAAAGAGGCACCGTCCACACAGCTGAGAGGAGAGAAAGATGTCATGGCGGCCGCTCAGAGCGCCCATCTGGCCCAGGCCTCAGTAGGCGCAGGCTCCACACTCAGGCAGTCCCAGCATAGGCCGGGACTTGTTGAGGCCTTTGGCGCCTCCGCTGGGCGGGAGGCATCCTCCCGCCGCCTCGCCCCAGGCCGCCTGCCCTTTGTTTTGGAGCCATGGCCAGTAGTTAGAAATCTTATGTAACTGGGACCAGGAGGTGGCATGGTGGTTAAAAGCACTGGACTCCCACATGGCCGACCATGACTCAAGTCCTGGACCTAGCGTGTCTGTCTGTCTCTGTCTGTCTGTCTGTCTCTGTCTGTCTGTCTGTCTCTCTCTGTCTGTCTGTCTCTCTCGGTCTGTCTGCCTCTCTCTGGTAAAAATGGAAAAATAATGATGATAAATAATCTTTAAAAATCTTATGTAACTAGGTATAAGGTCTTTTACCATTAAATATTTTTCAAATCTATTCCCCTTATTTTTTTCATTTGAGAGTATCTTCTAAAGAGCTTTCCCTGTTATTTTTAAATTTTGAAAAAGTCTACAAAAACCTCATAATGAATTACATATACCATCAACTCCTTTGTGCCTTCCTTGCTTGATAGATTTGGCTAAGTCAAAAACCTGGTTAAATCCAATTTACCCCTTGCTCCTTGCCTGTCACTGCACAGTTAAAAGTGGCAGAAGAGGAACCAGCAGTTGGCATAATGGCTATGTCACTGGACTCCCACGTAGTTGACCGGGGTTCGAGTGCCAGACCTGGTAGCTTAAACTCACGCCAGGAGCGTGTATGTGTGTGCCCAAGATCCTGAGAGGAGAATGGAGGAGAAGGGACTGTGGTGTGGCCATGCCCTCCCCCCCCCAGGAGAAGGGATTGTGGTGTGGCCATGCCCTCCCCCCCCACGGGGGAGGAGGGTGTAATTTCTCGCTTCCTGTCTCTCTGTCTCTCTGTCTTCCTGGCAAGCTCACATGCCCTATAGCAAAAACCTCTCAAAAAAAAAAAAAAATGGCAGAAGAAAAACACACAACATTGCTAACTTGTCATTACCACTAAATTACAATTATATTGTTTTCCTAGTTCATTCACTCTCCTACTAGCCTTTACAACTCACTCACATACTATCATCTCTTAACCTAATTAACCTAATGACCATCCTAATTCCTAGCTGATGACCTTGTTTCATACAGCATTGATAAAACAGCTTCTATAAATGCCCACCCTTTGTGCCTATTTACTCTGTCTGCTCTTCTGTTGCTTTGAATGAAGTACCTGTGGTCCTATCAAAGAGTAATACCACTTATTCACTAAATTCATTTCTTATCTATTTGTGATATTCACTCCAGCTCTTCCTCTCCACATCAAATTTTCCATCTCTACTGCATCATTTCCATATAAATATAAACATGCTTCCATTTCCAATCTTTAAAAAAAGACAAAGCAAAAAAGTTTTTAAATCTCATGACTGTGCTATCATCCCTTTTCTTCCTTTTAAAGTAATAATAGAAAGAATAGTTGCCAAAATCTCTTTTCAGCATCATTAAAAGTCAATCTAATTGGGACCAGCAGTTGGCGTAATGGCCATGTCACTGGACTCCCATGTAGTCAACCGTGGTTTGAGTCCTCGATCCGGTGGCTTAAACTCACGCCAGCAAATGTGCATGCGTGCCCAAGATCCCAAGAGGAGAATGGAGGAGAAGGGATTGCGGCGTGGCCATCCCCCCTGGGGGGTGATTTCTGGCTTTCTGTCTTTGTGGCGAATGCACACACCTTATAGCAAAAACCTCTCAAAAAAATAAAAAAAGGCAATCTAATCAAATTTCTGTCCTAATTCATTAAAATTGCTCTTACCGAGGTCACCATAATCCAGAGGTCAATTCACACTTCTCATTTTTATCCCTATATTTCCACAATTTTAAAATTAATCATCTTCCCACACAGACTATAAACTCTCGGAATGGAAATGCTGTATCTCATTTTTCTTGATATCTTAAATATTAAAAATATTTTATTATATGTATAACCCTTAAAACATGTCTGTTTAATGAATGATCAAAGAAATTTCTTTAACATCTGGGATTCTAAAAACCAACCTAAAGCACATTATTATTTAATAATCATAAATTTAGGCAGAACCCTGTTAGGAAGATTAGATGAATTTCTGAGATTTATTTTACCTTCACAGGTGTTTCAGATACCTATAAATCATGAGGAAGCAGAACTACAAATACAAAAGTTTTAGAGTAGATATGTAAAGATTTATATATCAGAACTTAGATGTTCACAAATTTGTTTACATTGAACCATAAAATATAGTTTATTGTAATTGAATCCTGTAAATTGTGAGTTACCCCTTCACAAATTAGAAATAAAGATTATCCTAAGGACTTCTTAAATACTTATAAAACAAAATCAAGGGGCAAGACAGTGTATTTTTCTATAAATAAGAACAAACATAACTCATCCTGACTGCTACACAAACTATCATATTTTACATTTTCTTTTGTCAAAGAGTCACTTGGCCATTGTAAGACATTTCTTCAGCATATATGCTATTGAAGCAAGCACAGTAAGACCTTTCTTATTTAGCAAAACATGAAAGCCTTTGGCTCCAGTTGAAGTCACTTTTTTCAAAATTGAATCCTTACAACCTAGATCTTACCTCAGTTTCCAATGAAAATCACCAGTGAATATTCTTAAATTAAATTACTGCTCCTTTTTCTCCACTTGTCATTTCCAATTACTGCAAAAAAGATTTTATACAGAAATAAAGCCACAACTCAGGAATAGAATGGGAAGAAATGGAACTATAAACATGCGTTACAGTATAACAGCTTTTCCAAATTAAGTTTGAAAGTAACAAAGCTCAGTGTTTTGGGTCATCTAGGATTCTTGTGTGTGGTGTGTGTGTGTGTTTGTGTGTGTGCAGAGGTTTTTACTATAGTGCGCGTGCACATGCACCGGAAAGAAAGAGACAGAGAGACAGAAAGCGGGGGATGGCCACGCCGCAATCCCTTCTCCTTCATTCTCCTCTTGGGATCTTGGGCACGCACGCACACGCGCCCAGCATGAGTTTAAGCCACCGGGTCCGGGACTCAACCCGTGTTCGACTACATGGGAGTCTAGCAACATAGCCATTACGCTAACTGCTGGTCCCAGGATTCTCTTAACTTATATCAGCCAGAGCAAAAGTATGCAGTTAAGTCAAATTAAGGCTCGATTTACTTTTCTGAACTTTACATTACAATGCCCTTTAGGTACACTATTGCTGAGAAGCTATTGTTGGCATTTATAGCATAAAACCTGATTTTGGAAGATTAATATAATAGCCTAAATATCACAAGGTTGAAACCACATAGTAACAGTTGTTTCATCATGCTAAGAGGAAAAATTAGTTTGTGGATTACCCATTTTCGGTAAGAAAGGAAAGAAAATTAGTTTCAGAATGATGCTAATGATTGATCTATATTTAGATATAATCAAAAAATACAAACTCTACAATTCAAAGACACTTGTTAAAATAAACTGGTGACTAAAACACTAATAATTTATTTGTATATTATCTTTCATATATTAAATGTGACAGCTGCAAGAAAATAGACTCTCACATATTTTATTAATCTTCCTGGCACAGAAACTTCTACTTAAACAAAATAAAACATAGTGTTAGCCGTTTAAAATAATTTAGAAATCTATTCTCCTTAATGTTTTCAAGTTCAGTATGAATCAAATCTATAGCTAAGGAAAATGCGTAACAAGTAACAGGACACTTATTATCAGTATAAAATAACCAATCTATCTTTTAAATGAACCATGTAAAGACTACATTGCAAATGAAAAATTGTAACTTTTGATATAGGTATCCGAAACAACTCCTAGAAAAACTATTATGTCTGAGGACAATAGTTTTTTTTTTTCACTTGCCATGACAAATATCATTTGTTCTTCAACAGGTAAAATAAACAGCTGTGGTTTTGTATGTCTTCCTTTATATGTACATAAAGAATGGGAAAAATGACTGTCTATTCCTTGTTTCTATGTACTATCTCTGCCTAGTCAACAATATGGATTGTTCTTTACAAATTATCTGAAACAAAGATACTTTAATCATCTGGTGAAGGAGGAGATGTAAATTGGGATTAACTCTTAAACATAAATAAGAACTACAAGCAAGTTAGAGTTGATTCTAACAAAATAATAAACTTAACAAAAATGAATTTACTTCATGTCACATATTAAGATACTCAAATATATTATCATATGCAAATCATCAGTTCTGGCTTATAATGTATATTCACAAAGCATATATCTTAGAGACATACATAGAAAACAATCAATTTGTTTTCTTCAAAAACAAAATTAAACTATATAGTTCATGTTCTAGGTACACTGTACTCTAATGTTCCGCATGTCTCTCAGTAGTACTGGTCGGTAGTTTTGCTCCAAAATTTCCATGTATTCAAAATAATCACTCACTCGAAACCCATGTAGTGCTTCTTCCTGCCAAAAAATATAAAGAGAAGTTCATTCACTCGGGTAAAATCACAAATGCCAACTCTAGAACTATTCTTCAGATTTGTAATTAGTAAAGCCCCTAAAGCTTATCTACTAAAAGTATTGCAAAATATATTTCTCTGTTATTGTTCATAAAATCCCCAATGGTCTGTAATTCATAATGTCAGTCGCATGTACATATGTACTAATCTAGAATTCAGTAGTTATTGTCCCAAATGAGGCACTCAAGAATAAACAATAGAAATATGTATTTCAAATCTTAAAATTGTTTAGGAAATTTTATGATTATTCCATTTAGTACCTTCAACTACTACCTACACACTGGGTTTTTGCTATAGGATACATGTGTTTGCCAGAAAGACAGAGACAGAGGGACAGAAAGCGAGAAATCACCCCCCAGGGGGGATGGCCACACTGCAATCCCTTCTCCTCCATTCTCCTCTTGGGATCTTGGGCACACACGCACATGCACCCGGCGTGAGTTTAAGCCACCGGGTCCAGGACTCAAACTGCGGTCGACTACATGGGAGTTCAGCAACGTAGCCATTATGCTAACTGCTAGTCCCTCAAATAAAGGTTTTTAACTATATAATTTTTAATTTTTTTAAAAAGGAAAAGTCTACAGAAGAAAAGTCATTCTTGATTCAATGTCATTAATATGTATTATTTGGGAGGTTATACAAAATTTCTGACAATTCATGTATTTCAGAAGTTTATAAAGGTTACTAACAGATGTAACAACAGTAATTCAAAACAACAGAAGACAATAAATAAAATATATCAGATATTGTGTTATAGGCAATCAGTTTATAGAGGAGAGATAGCTATATAAGATAGCTAGGAAACATTACACAAGTCTCTGTAAGAATGGGCTTTTAAATGCCTCAGGACACAAGTCACTTACAGGTTAGTAGTAATACACAGCATACAAATAACATGGGAGAACTTTATTCTCATTTTGCTATGTATTACCTAAAATTTATATAATTTGCTTGATTTCTCTGCACATGGATATCCAATTCTTCCAGCACAATTTGTGGAAGAAACTTTCTTTTCCCCACTGGATTGTCCTGTGTCTTTTGCCAAAAGTCAGTTAGCTGAATGCTTTGGGAAGTATTTCTGGATTCTCCTTTCTATTCCATTGGTCTACATGTCTGTTTTTGTGCCAGTATCATGCTGTTTTGATTATCAAAGTTTTGTAATACATTTTTGAGATCAAGCAGTGAGATCCCTCCTACTTTATTTTTTTTGCAGTATTACCTTGGTGATATGGAGCCTTTTAAGAGTCCAGAAAAAGTTCATGTTTTTGTTTTCTATTTTTGTGAAAAATGCTACTAGTAATTTGATCAAAATTGTACTGAATTTGTAAACTAATTTGGATAAAATTGACACTTTTATTATATTGATTTTTAAAATCAGGAACATGGGCTATCTTTCCACTTTTTGTGTACCACACTAATTTTTTTAAAAAT